TTGGCGTACCGGGCGTAGCCACCATGCTGCTTCTCGAGGTCCCGCTTATCCTCGATAACGTCCAAGATCGTCTTGGCCAGCTCCTTGGTCCAGTTCCCAAGGCTCGATGCTGTTCCCTTCGGCCTGTTGATCACGCTCGTGTGTACGTGCTGCTCGTCACACTTGATGCCGTTGAGCCTCTTGCCAAGCATGATGGCCGTCGTCAGGAACCTCGTCGGCTTCTTGCCTGGATCGCCCATGAAGTCCACCAGGTTGCTGCCCTCGGCGCACTGGTGCATCATCGCGCTCACGAACTCTGAGCCCAGCCATGGCATAAGCTGCCAGGCTCTTGACGTCAATGGGTTTTCCAGTAGCATATGGGCTCCTCGGCGCTTGCAGTTGATCCAGATCTGCGCGACGAATTGCAGGTGCTTCATGCCGATCGCCAGCTTACGCATCTTCGTCTCCTTCGGGAACATGTGGGATATGTTCGTGAACGGGTCGCAGGGGAAACCCACAATGGTCATGTCGGGGCCATCCTCGTCCAGCTGCTTCAGGAAGGTCTTCTGCGACGTCGCGTCCAGCAGGTCGTCCCCGATCAGGATGCCCCTCGGCCTCGTCACTGGATGCCGCCGCTGCTGAGCTTCTGATGTGGCTGCCATGCCACCTGCGTGGAGCTCGCAGATGATGGGCCGCTTCTCCTCCGGGTCCGCCTTCAGCGTGTCCACGATCTGCTGGCACTGGTCCAGCTTGTCCTGCATCTTTTTCTCCCACGTCTCGATATGCTTCCTCTGCTTCCGCCGCAGGATGCCCTTGTCGATCTCCTGGACCTCCGCATTCCAGATGTCAATCTCGTCGGACGTGACTGATGGCTCGATATTTGTCGTCTCCTTCTTCGGCCACTCCTTGAGCGAGATCGTCAGGTGTCCCTTCTCCGTCTTGTTCAGAGGCACCCCGTACTTGTTGATCGCCTTGAAATCCGCCTTCCGATCCTTGATGTATATCACTGTGTCGACCTCCTCCAGCTGGTGGATGCTCAGCAGTATTGGCGTCTTTGACTTCGGCAACCTCTGGAAGCGTAGGTTCACGTCAGCTCCAACAAGTCCAGCCGTCACCTCTTGTTCTCCCTCTGCCATGACCGGGGCGCTATCATTCACGCCTCGGAAGCGCATGGATGATCCTCTCATCCGCGTGGTGACTCTGCCGTCCTCTGCGTAGCCGCCCAGTGATATTGAACCTCCACATCGACGTAGGCACGCAGTGTCCAGTACAGCATGTCCATCTGGAATAGGTCCTTTTCGTACTGCGAAGGCTTCGATTTCTTCCAGCTCCTCGCACGGTTGCTGCCGCCCTGGCGACGGTGTGCGGTCGCCCTCTGGAACGTAGTTGGTTCCAGCTCGGCGTTGCGTCCACAACCATGTCGGTCGTACTCCAATCGGTAGGCACTCGCAGGTACTCCTCACGATGCCACGGAGCTCCGAGGTCTTGTCCCAGGCTGCTTGGCAGAGATCGCAGGCCATATTCCTGAGGCCGTTTGGCGCCATCTCCATGGTGATGTGCATGAGCTGCTGGAAACGATGTAGGGCCCAGTCTAAACAGAAATCCATGCAGTCCCTGAAGGCCGCTTCCATGTTCTCGCAGCTGACCCACAACGCTGCGATCTGCTCAGCACGATCTCGCATCTTCTGTAGGTCGGCCGCTGTGGTGTCTTCCTCCAGGTAGTCTGTGCTTGGTCTGCTGGGCTCCGTCCTTCCTGTCGACCACGACCCTGGTGTCGGTCTGCTTGTCCACGATCTCTCCTCCGAGCTCACTGGAGTGCTCAGGGGTTCGTCAGGTTATTGTGCTTGATGCTCTTCAGGTACTGGGTGTAGTTCGTGTGCCTGGTCGATCCTCTCTTGGAAGTTCGGCTGGTCCCCTGCTGCTGATACCGCGTAGGGGTTCACGATCTGCTCCTCGGTGTCGATCCTCACCTTCGTCAGACTCGTGATCTCCTCCATCGCCACGTCTATGCTTGCCAGCTGGTCGCTGACAATCTGAATGGCGGTCATGTCCATCGAGCTGTCCGCCATCAGCAGCTTGACCGCGGTCACCATGGCGATCCCAGCTCGTCGTAGAAAACCCCCAGGTCGTCCGTGAAAGCCCCGTCCTCCACGTCCGCCCCCTCGTCCTCCACGTTGTAGCGCACTGGATCCACTCGCTGGTGACCTCGTCTTCTCGCACTCGGGGTCAGCCCCCCAGCGACCCTTCTTGTGGCACGCGTTGCCCTTCGTGCGCGCCTTGATCTGATTCAGCTTATCCTCAGCCTCTCCGCTGTCCATCTTGATGGAGCCCTGCTTGTTGATGTTGGCGTTCCAGCCTCTATTCGACTTGCTCTGAGCAAGCCGCTCCCGGGCCTGCTTGTAGTTGGGCTTGCGGTTGCGCCGTCCATCTTTCCAGCCAAGGCGTTGAGCCTCCGTCGCCAGGGCGTCGCACTCCTCCTGGCTGATCTCGTCCGGGTCCACGTCATCAATCACTCCCTCGAACTCGTCGATGTCCGCTGCAAGTGCGTCGTAGTCCGCATCACTCAGGAAAACGCCCTCGTCGCACGGTGCACATTCGTCCCCGAGTAGAGCATCTTCCTCTTCGTCGACGTAGTCCACCGGGTAGGCCCCGCATCGCCCATGTCCACGATCATCTCGGCCTGTGCTGTCCAGCTGTATCAGCATGGCTGCCGTCACGTCGTCCCAGATGTACTCGTTGTTGCATTGGCCAAAGATTGCATTGTGCTCGCTAGCTTTAGTAGAAAGTATGTCCGTAAGTATTCGCTGACTGTCGTGTTCGTTGAAAGTGACTTGAGCCGCTCGTACTCCGTCTCTCGCCTCGATATGTAGTTCTGCACAGACTCCGTTCGATTGCGAAAACCTCGGAAGAAATACTCCTCGAACGCTTGCTGCTTCTGTAGTGGTGCGATTCTCTCGCACGCCTGTCGCACTGTGGTTACCACCAGTTTGACTGCAGCAAGTGGGTCATTACCTGCTTCGTCCAAAACTGCTTGCGCACTGATCTCAGCCTTCTTACGTGTGAGTGTCCACGCTCGTCCATTTAGAGAATTATTGAGCTTGATCGCGTGGAGCTTATTGATTTTCTCCTCGCTCGCGAGGTAGCCGAATATTGCACGATCCTCGAACCCCTCGCCGTAGGAAGGGTCTCCGTTGTAGTGTACCACGCCCTCCTTGTCAACGAAGATGGGCCCGTCATTGAACTGCTGCTGCTGCCTGGACGTCATCTTGATGACTGTGATGCTACTGAGCTTGTTACCGACGTAGTAGCTGTCTTGATCGTTGCTGCTGTAGTTATGCTGCTCGCCAGGGATGCTGTTGATGCAAAGATCCTCGTCCAAGCTGTTGCAGGTAATGATCTTGAGCGTCTTGTCGATCGCCTTGATCTGTTGAGCGCAGTGGTTAAGCACCGCGAAGAGGTAAATGGGCGCCAGCATGTATGTCTGCACGGCCACTCTGTATGAAATCCTCGCACCGCTGACTGATTCAGCTCGCGCTACCAGTGTAAATGATGATCCAAATCTCTCCACCCACAACCTCTTGATGCAAGAAGAAATAGATAGAGTACGATCTGATATTATACCGAATCAAACTAGACAGTTGTTGAGTGCGTCCACCCTCCCGCCACAGCTGGCGGGTCCACAGCCAAAACGGCCGCGGTGAACAAGAGAGTGCAAGCATGAGCGAGCGAGAGCAGCACCAGAGATAACTCTAATTATCATCCTATATCTCACATCCTCGCTAATACAGTTTTCACATCTCTGGCCAGGGGGTCTCGGGGTAAATTGTGAGGAAATATCGAGCGGGAGCCGTTGTCGTCGTAGCCGGGCCTGCAACAACACACATGTACAAGCAAGCCAGCGCTCGAGCGGAAGCCTCGTCGAGGCGGCGTCAAGGCGTGAGCGCGCGGAACGGCTTCTGGAGGTCAACAATAAATATCATCTGGAACTAAGGCATTCAACAACAACTGTGAAATTTTTTCTAGAAATAAAGTGTTCAACAACATTATACTCTTACTCATCCCGATCGTCAGCGTCATCCGCAAAATCGTCGTCGCTGTCATCATCAGCATAATCCGAATCATCATCATGATCAGCATCAGCATCAGCCTCAGCATAAGCATCATCATCAACAACAGTGGCATCATCATCATTATCATCATCAGCAGCATCAGCATCATCACCATCGTTATCATCAAATTCATCATCTTCATCACAATCATCATCGTCACCAGCATCAGCATCATCATCAGCATCATCATCACCACCACCATCAACATCATCATCATCATCATCATCATCATCATCATCATCATCATCATCATCATCATCATCATCATCATCCCCATCATCATCATCATCATCATCCCCATCATCATCATCATCATTATCATCATCATCGTCATCATCAGCAGCATTATCATCGTCATTGTCATCGTCATTGTCAACCTCATCGTTGACGTCATCATCATCCTCAACACCACCCTCATCCTCATCCTCATCATCCAATTCATCCTCATCATCGTCATCGTCATCGTCACCATAATCCTCATCCTCATCCTCATGCTCATCAGCATCAGCAGCAGCATCATCCACATCAGCATCAACATCAACACGAGCATCAGCAGCAGAATCATCACCACCACCGCAATCATCCTTATCATCATTATCATCATCATCACCACCACCACCATCATCATCATCATCATCATCATCATCGTCGTTGACATCGTCATCATCATCATCATAATCCTGATCCTCATCCTCATCCTCATCCTCATCATCATCAGAATCATCATCATCATCATCATCATCGTCGTCGTCATCATCATCGTGGCAACGCATCCTTTCCTCTCTCATCATCATCGGCATCATCATCGTCATCATCGTGGCCCTGCTCCCTCTCTCCTTTTCCTTCCTCCCTCACCCCATCCCCATCCGCTGCCGGCGGGACGTACGCCCCCCCCGCAGCCGCCGCCGCTGCCTGGGACCCGGCCGCGGCGTTGGAGTCCTCCATCACCTCTGTTACCGCAGCAAGACGACGACGACGACGAGGGACCACGACGACGAAGACGACGACGACGACGACGACGACGACGACGACGACGACGACGACGACGACGGACGACGACGACGGGCGACGACGACGACGACAAGACGACGACGACGGACGACGACGGACGACGACGTCGGGAGCAACTGGGGAGGGGGAATATGAAAGGGAAGATGAAGTGGAGAAGAGCCCTCAGATCTGACGCTGCGAACAAACTGCAACATCGCCAAAAATCACGCCCTCAGCCCCAGACCCTATTTTTCGAACCCGAAATCTGGGGACAACGCCCGTTGTGAAAGAAATGCAACGCCAGGCCGGACGGGGATGAGAGCAGGCAGCATCACCGTGGCCGTGGTGCCGCGACAAACGGCCGTCGTGATTTCTGTTTACGGCCCGTGTAGTAGTTGTGGTCGTCGTCGTCGTCGTCAACGTCGTTTTCGCCGTCGCGGTCGTCATCATCGTCGTCGTCGTCCGTCGTCGTCGTCGTCGACGTCATCGTCGTCGTCGTCGTCGTCGTCGTCGTGGTCCGTCATCGTCGTCGTCGTCTTCGTCGTCGTCATCGCACTCCCCATCCCCTCATCCTCCTCTTCATATTGTGTTTCTTCTTATCACTGTGTTTATGATTACCATTAGCAATCCTTCAAAGTGTATGATTATTATGATTATTCTTGATATCCGTATTATTATAATTACTATTACCCCAGTGCGACCCTACCTAGAAGTTGGAGCCCTTAGGAAAGCAGCATTAGTTGCTATGCTATGCTATACTATGCTATGCTATGCCATGCGATGCTGCGCTATGCTATGCTATGCTATGATATGCTGCGCTGTGCTATGCTATGCTATGATATGCTATGCTATGCTATGCTAAGCTGTGTTATGTAATGCTGAGCTGTGCTATGCTAAGCGATGATATGATATGCTATGCTAAGCTGCGCTATGCTATGCTGTGTTATGATATGATATGATATGCTATGATATGATATGCTATGCTGCGCTATGCTATGCTAATGCTATGATATGCTATATTATGCTGTGCTATGCTATGCTAATGCAGCGCTGCGCTGTGCTATGCTAAGCTATGATCTGCTATGCTAAGCTGCGCTATGCTATGCTGTGCTATGCAATGCTGTGCTCTGCTATGCCAAAGCTCAGCGAAGCTAAGATGGAGGTAAGCTAAGCTAAGATAAACCTGAGCTAAGATGAAGCTAAGCTAAGCTAAGATGAAATAAGCTAAGCTAAGATGAGATAAGCAACGCTAAACTAAGGGGACGTAACTGGGGGAACCGCGGGGCGGATACTGGGGGAACCGCCCAGGGCGGTGTGCACTGCCCGGCCTCTTTAAGAAAGAGAGTAAGAACCCTCTAGGCAGAGCCTAGGTAGGGAATTATTATCGAACCTATTAATTGTTATTATTATTTCTGGTATTCGTTTGACTTTCTTAGCGTTAGCCTTATTGTTATTCGTATTCGTGGTACGATTGCGATTACTAAGTTTCATATTAATGGTATTATTACGGAAATTATTAATATGATAAGTATGTTTATTCTTACTGAGATTATTATGATTATCACTCGTATAATTACGCTTGATCGAGTCGTACTAGACATGTTATAAGTATTATTAGTATGATTATTGTTATACTTGTTGTTGCTAATGGTGTTGGTGCTATCAATATTCTTGTTATGTTTGTTCCTACTATCATGTTTATAGCTATTCCGAAAAAAATATTATACATATTACTACTGCTATTTAAATGTCTAATAGTATTCCCGGCGGAGCCGCGTGCAATTCCGTCCCCGCCGGTGACTGACTGACTGACTGAGTGATTGACTGACTGAACGTCAGGAGGGCACCTTGAACAACACATTTCAAACCGCCCGCGGGTGCGCAAGCGCAACTGCGCGACACATTTCGACCCGTCCGCGGGCGCTTAACCGCAACCGCAACTGGGCGACCCGCCCGCGGGCGCGCAACCGCAACCGCAACTGGGCGACACATTTCAACCCGCCCGCGGGCGCGCAACCGCAACAGGCCGCGCAAGCGCCTGCGGGACACAGCCTGGGCGTCGAGGTTGGGAAAACCGCCCACGGCTGCGTCTTCGGGGTCGGCGCCGACGGCAGTGTTGGCAGCCTGCGCCGATGCCTTGGCCTCCCTCGAGATCTGCTGGAGACCCGCGAGGAGGCGCATGATCTCCTGTTCCGCAGAAGCCAAAGTAGGCTGCGGGATGACGGGAGACATCTTCATCTCGTTGAGCACCCGCGCGAGGCTCTGGGTCGAGGCCTCGAGCGAGTTCGGCGACTGGGTTTGCAGCGCCTTCGCCTCGAGCTCCTTGAGCTCGTTCTCGCGCTGGACCGTGTCCGCCTTGGCCTGCTCGAGGCTCTTGATGGCCTCGTCGAGAGCAGACTGAGAGGAGCCGTGCCTCTTCTGCGCCCCCTCTAGCATGACACCAAGTGGTTGCTGAGAGGTTTCGGCATCGTGATGCTCTTTTTCGCGGCAGCGATCTGCCTTTGGATCATGTCGCGAGTACTTTGGTACTCGGGCCCTGGTGGAAGGGCACGGAGAGCATTCTCAAGCGAGGCGATATGGTCGCACTTGTCGATCTGCTGCTGCTCCTCCTGGGCCGCCGAGTCCATGTAGGTCGACGTAGTGCCCACGGCCGCGTCGAGAGGCGCAGCTCTGGACTTCCAGGGAGGAGTTGGATCGGCCTGGGCCCAGCTCTTCTTCAGAACACACCCGCGGCGCTCTTTGGCTGATGCCGCATTCCACGCGTGGCAGCCCTCTGTGCGGCACTGCCACCACTGGTCCTGCTGCCACCACTGCTGAGAGGAGCCCTGCTGCCACAGAGCCATCGAAGTCAAGTGCTGACAGAGAAAACAACAGCAGTGTACAGTAACGTAGGCTTACGTTCTGACAAAGAGGCCCCCTGACCATCTGAGGCCAAAATGGATACGGACCTCCTCCTCATCCTCCTCGTCCTCCAGTTACTCCTCCTCCTCCTCCTCATCTCCATCCTCATCCTCCTCGTCCTCTTCCTCCCCCTCCTCCTCCTCCTCCTCCGCCCCGACTGTGCCACGCGCGAGCCTGGTGGGAGTCGAAGTCCCAGTCCTGCCCGCCCTGGCCCTCCTCGTCGGCCTCGTCCTGGCAGGGCGGGCAGGCGAGGAGGCTGAAAAACAGGCGCAAGAAGATCAAAGGAGTACCACCACATACGGCAGGTTCGCGTCGTGCCAACATCTAGGGGACGAAAAGTCATATAGACATAAACTGTCGCAGCTCCGCGCGGATTTCTTGGATCTGCGCTGGGGCCCCTGGCTGCGCGTCCGGCGCAGCCCCTGGCGCGCTCCGAGCGCCAGCGAGGGGGGTCCAGCGCAGGTCCAAGAAGAACTCCAAAAGATTATATTTATACAGTTTTTTCTTATTCGAGACTTCGGCGTTGATTCCCGACACCTCGGGGATCGTTCAACCTTGAACGATCGGCCGTTTTCCAAACGTCCGATCGTTCACTATCGACCGCTTCTGGGTCGCTGGCGTCGTACGCCGGCGGCGAGGTCGCCTTCAGTCGACACGACGCGAACCTACGTACATGTTGGAGTTCGGAGGAGCCGGTCACAAAAAGGGGTAGGGGGTAGCAGGGCGGGGATGTCAGAGAGGCGGGAGACCCTCCGCTCCCAATCGTCAAGCTGATGCCCCCGAGGTGGCTCCACTGATCGCACTCCTGGGAAGCATACCTCGCCAGCACTTCGCGCCAGCAGGCGACGGAGACACGCGACAAGAGAAGAATAATAAAAAACAAAAGGAGAGGGGGGTCGTGGCCCTTTTGGCTCAAGCGGCACGCACGCACTCACAATTGGAGCGGCCAGCGAGCCGGCGGCTGCGTTCCGCCCAAGCAAGGCGGCACCTTCCGACCAAAGGCCCGCCGCAGCCGGCAGTCCGTAGACCGCCCCAGGAAAGACAAGAACAAAGAATGGCAAGAGCATACCGAACGTTCACTCCGTACGTAACATACGGTATGATCATACCGTATATAACGTACGACATGGTCACCCCGTAGGTCATGTACATCATCTCTCTGAGGTATGACCTTACCGCACGGCTATGACTCTGAAAGGATACGCCTGTTGCATACGTCATATTTCGGAGGTCGGCACGGCTTTCCTGGTTCGGCGCTAGACCCCCCTCCTCCCCTGGCGCGCAGAACGCGACAGGGTAAGCAGCTCGGACCTCCGAAAGCTGTTCTTCGAGAAAAGGTAGGACGAGGATCGCAGCCATTCTCGCTCAGGCGGCCCGCTGGCTTTCAGGTCGGGTAAGGGGCCACTGCACGCCAGCCAACGAACCAACTAGCCAACCAGCCAGCCAGCCAGCCAGCCAACCAGTTAACCAGCCAAACAGCCAGCGCCCAACCAGCCAACCAACCAGACAACCAGCCCACCAGTCAACCGTACGAAACTACCAACCAGCCGACCGACCATCACTCCAGAAGAAAATTATTTGACCTGGCAAGCAGCGAGCTCACTGGCCAACCAACCAGCCAGCGGGACGCTTGGATTTGTCGATGATGCCCGACGACACGGGGCCAGGAAAGAACTCGTTGACCCCACAAGGGTTGTTTTGGAACCAGGACAGAATTCTTTGACCGCACCCGGTTTGTTTCGGCACTGCACAAGAATGAACCCTGAAACCAAAAACGTTCAACCCCGCTCCCGCGCGGACCAGCTTGCGCGGAACCGTAGTATGGTCCGAGACAACGGCGATCCTGAGGAGGGGCAGCGGCGGATGACAAGAGAGGCAGAATCAGACTGGATCGCATCAGCCATACACGAAAGAGTGGTGAAGCCCTCGCCTGCCAGTCGAAGGACGCACCCAGTGGGCACGATAGTCGTGAGGAGAATCAGAGGGAGAAGCAGGAGGAGGAGAAGGGCAGAGGAGGACAGCAGGAGTGGGAGGGCAGAGGAGGGCAGAGGAGAGCCAAAGAGGAGGGCAGAGTGGGAAGGTGGGGGGAAGGGGCCATGCGAGCGAGGAGGGGACGAAGCTCAGCAGTAGCAGCGGAGGAGAAGCCCCACAACAGGCACGAGGAGCCGGATGTGAACCAGTGGCAGCAAAAGAAGGATCGGGAGCAAGAACCGGGCGAGTCTCCAGAAGGGCCAGGCGGAGCAGGGGGAAGCGCGGGAGGCGCAAGAGGGAGGGAGGGCAAGAGGAGGAAGGAGGAGGAGGAGCCAGAAACTACTTTGGACGATAGGGAGAGCCCTGCGATGAGAGGGAGCAGGAGGCGCGAGGGAGCAGCAGGCGCCTCAGGCGAAGGATGCCGGTAGAACGCGGCGAAAGCTGGTGTGACTCGCAGGAGAGGTCGCGGCGGCAGCACAGATAGCGGTCCTCGCTGACAAGGTCGCTGAAGAGTCCCGTGGACCCCTTCCTGGCGCGAAGCGCGAGAGAAGCAGTAGTAGCAGCAGAAACGCAGTGATATATATATATATATATATATATATATATAAAAAATAAATAAATTAATAAATAAATAAATAGATAAATAAATAGATAAATAAATACATGAATGACTGAATAAATAAATAAATATACACACATATATACATACATACACATGTATATAGACATACATGTGTATACATGCACATATACGTATACACACATGTACATACACATATACATATACATATACATATACATGTACAAATACATCTACATATACATGTACATGAGCATAAACAATTACAAATACCTATACATATATACATATACATATACATATACATGTACATATACATGTACATATATATACACGTATGCATATACATGTACATAGACAAATACCTATATGCATACATGTACATATACATATACATACATGCACATAGACATACACATACGCATACCTATGTACATATTCATATACACATACATATACATATACATATGGAAATACATATACATATACCAATATAAAGATACATATGCATATCCATATGCACATACATATACATAAACAAAAACATATACATATACACATACATGTACATGTACATGTACATGTACAGATACAGCTGCATTCCCATGTGCATAATTATATACATATACATACACATATGCATATACAAATCCATATACCTATGTGTATAAATATACATGTACCTGTACATATACCTAACTATATACATCCATATACATAAACAAATACATATACATATGTATACATCTACATACGCATGTACATCTACATATAGATATGCATCTACATACATTTATATACACATATTCATATACATATGCACATACATATACGTATACACATACGTATGCATACACATATACATGTGCATATACATATGCATGTATATTTACATGCATGTATACATATACATATACATATAAAGCAACATATGCATATACGTATACATATTCTTATACATAAATATTTACATTCATATACATATACGTATACATATACATATACATACACATAAACATATACAAATCCATATACATATATGAACGTATACATATACATATACACATAAATAAAAAATGTGTATATATGTATATATATCTATATATAAACATATATATATATATATATATATATATATATATATATATATATATCGGCCCCCTTGTGGGGCCACCAGGCGGTAGGCCGAAGCTTCGCAGTTTCCTGTACAAGTTGCAGCTTCCAGTTTCCACTGTTACCGTTCTGCTTCTTTGCAGCTTCCAGTTTCCACTGTTACAGTTCTGCCTCTTGCTGCTTACTATTTCTTGTTGATGGACCGCGAGGAGGGGGAGGGCCAAAACGGGCATTTTTACCACGCTCTGAATTGCTTGGGTGGGTAAAAATTAACACCCCTCACGCAGATCGGCGGGGTCAGGGTCAAAAACACAATGGACTTGCCACATTTCTGAAATTCGGTAACACCCTTCACGCAGATCGGCGGGGTCAGGGTCCAAAAGCACAAGGGATTTGTCGCATTTCTGAAATTCGGTGACACCCCTCACGCAGATCGGCGGGGTCAGGGTCCAAAAACACAGTGGATTTGCCACGTTTCTGAAATTCGGTGGCACCCCTCACACTGATCGACGGGGTCAGGGTCCAAACACCAATGAGATTTGCAACATTTCTGACATTTGCTGACAACCCTCACGCAGATCGGCGGGGTCAGGGTCCAAAAACATATGGGATTTGCTACATTTCTGACATTCGGTGGCACCCCTCACACAGATCGGGGGGGTCAGGGTGCAAAAACACAAAGGATTTGCTACATTTCTGAAATTTGGTGGCACCCATCACGCAGATCCGCGGGGTCAGGGTCCAAATACACAAGGGAACACAAGGGATTTGCCACATTTCTGAAATTCGGCGGCACCCTTCACGCAGATCGGCAGGGTCAGGGTCCAAAAACACAAGGGATTTGCCACATTTCTGAAATTCGGCGGCACCCCTCACGCAGATCCGTAGGGTCAGGGTCCAAAAACAAACAGGTCCCGACACTGCTTCACGGCGGCGCCCAGACCTCATGATTCAGCTTTTGCATCTCCCATTATCCGAGACAGAGGGCCGGCGGCATGGGGCGAAGCCCTTACGGATATAGATGTGTACATATATATATATTATAAACAATTGTATACATATACATGTATACCTTCCTATATTTATGGGTAAATCTTGTGTATATATATAGAATGTAAAAAGCAAAGAAAAAACAAATCAAAAAAAACGGAGACGGTGCGGTGCAGGAAAGACTGGGAAGGGTCGTCCGACCAGCGCGACGTGGAGACGACCTTCGCCGCCCGTACGAATGGCCGCTGTCCTCGGGGGGTGGTAAGCGTTTGCTTCATAATGGACTTCGACATTCGTCCGAAGGGTGGGGGAGGGGGTGGGGTCTGGATCGAGGCAGAAGTTTCGCCGATCTGCCTCTACCGATCGCGCAAGCAGACCAGCGGGGGGGGGATCTGGACCAATCACCAAAAGCAGCAGCCCAAAGCAGCCAAGATCTGGTTTGTGGGGGGAGGGGCGCAAGGGCCAGCGCAGATCGGCGAAACAATGCATCAAAAAAACGAAGACGTGGCGGCGCAAACCAAAATCTACACAGATCACGGCAAGTAATTGACCCCTGGGCCCCAGCTCTTCTGCGCCATTCCTCGAGCCCGAACGATCCGTGGCCCCAGGGACCCGAGGCCGGGCGGAAAATCCCTGTGGCCAAAAATTGGAACGCCAAGATCTCGGGGTCCGGCGCAACCGCGCCGATCGACCGCGGCCCCGCGCCCAGGCGCCAAAGCTCTCGCGGAGCACCGGGCCCGCCGGGGCCTGCCGGGGCCTACCGGGCGGCACCGCGGTGGAGAACCCGCCGGGCCCGCGGGCTGGCCGCCGCGGACGACGCGGCCAGCACGAGGAGCCGCGCTGCACGAGCACTGGCTACACTCGCTGCGGCAAAACATCTCGCCGTCGCCGCCGCCGTCGCCACCCCCCGCCGCCGCCGCCGCCGGTATCGTTGTCGTCATCGTCGTCTTCCCCCTTGAGAGTCGACAGCACCGTCCGTAAGTCGGCGGCGAGCGAGGGGGGGAAATGAGAAGGGCGAAGGCCTTCTCAGAAGGCGGCGGGATCTCTCAGAAGCCCTCGCGCCTTCCGAAAGATTTGTTTTGTCTTTGGGGAAGGCTTATGAAACTTCTCAGAAGGCCGGGGGGCTTCCGAACCTTCTGAGAAGGCCTTCTCCTTCTCACTTCGCCCCCTCGCTTGCCGCCGAGCAGGGCCTCCGCAATCTCGACGGAAGGTGTTGTCAGATTGCGACCTCAAGGGGCCCTCACCGGGTCCCAAGAATGACAAAAAATTGCTCGGGATGGAACACCGCAGACGGGGATAAGGCACAGACCTCGAGGGGTCCACGTTGAAAAATAAACAAACTATGATTTTGTCGCAGCGGTTTGCCACCGACCCGCGGTCGGAGGCAATCGAAGGACACTGCGGGGACGAATTGGGCACACCATGGGGCGGGAACAGCGCAAACGGGGGGCGACGACGATGCGGGCGGCGGAGGACGCTCAGAGCATGAAATTCTTGTGCGTCTGTGCTAAAGCACAGGACTGCTAGGCAGTAAGCTGGCGTCATCGACGGTCATGGGAATGAGCTAAAAGCATTGATCCCATGGGAACCAAGACACCGGGGCTTGTGTGCGCAAGCCAGGCGAAGAACGATCCTAAAGGCAAAGTCTGACCGAAACCATAAACAAACAAAACACAACAAAAACACTGCGTCAGAGGTCTGGGTGATCCACGACCCTCGATCATCAGAGGCTCAACAGCTTCGGCTGCCCCTCGACTCGCTGGAGTTGCCACGACCTGTTTCTAGGTCCTGGGCACCTCTGGACTTGCCTCAATTTGCCTGCATGCGCACCGACTTGCGCAGCCGTGCCTAGACTTATCTGGTCAGATCCCCCTAAATCGATTGGAAAAGAATATTCGTGCGATAGGTTCAGAAACAGGCTGGTAGGGCGCACTCAAGGAGATTCGAACTCAAGAACATTCGAAAACCCTGCCCCCGAATCCCTCCTCCTCCTTCAGTGCATCCTTCCGTTTCTCTACTCCCTCCGCCTCCCTCGTCCTCCCGTTTCCTTTTCCGCCTCCCGCCTCCTTGTTACTTCTCGCCACCGCCTAAGTCAGGATCCTGACGGCCGCACGCCCTGCAATATGGAAAGCCACAGTACCTGGACACCGTCCATTACGATGTCCGGCAGTTCCACTCTGACCAGAAATAGCGGTAGGGGAACGCACCGCGCAATTCCTGCTCACCCAAACGCCTTCTAAATACCAAGCGGCGGCCGAGCACGAGATAGCACCAGCCCCGCCGTCCCTCACCCGCCCTCCCTCCATCACTTCTCCTCCCGTCATCCTCCTCCTCCTCCTCCTCCTCCTCCTCCTCCTCCTCATCATCATCCTCCTCCTCCTCATCCTTCTCCTCCTCCTACTCCTCTTCTCCTCCTCCTCCTCCTCCTCCTCCTCCTCCTCCTCCTCCTCCTCCTCCTCCTCCACCTCCTCCTCCTCCTCCTCCTCCTCCTCCTCCTCCTCCTCCTCCTCCTCCTCGGCAGCAGACGGTCCTCTTGGCCAGCACGGGCCCCTCGTCCTCCTCGGCGCTGGCCTGGTCCTCCTCCGCGAGGTCGCCTCGCCCCGACCGTGGCTTCGGCGGGGGGGGTACATCAACGTCTGCAGCGTTATGGTCATCGTCATCGTCATCGATATCACCATCGACCACCACCACCACAACCGTCAGTATCATCATCATCATCATCATCATCATCATCATCACCATCAGCAGCATCAGCATCATCACCATCACCAGCAGCATCAATCATGAGAAGCATCATCATCATCATCATCATCATCATCATCATCATCGTCGTCGTCATCATCATCATCATCATCATCATCATCATCATCATCACCATCACCATCACCATCACCATCACCATCATCATCACCATCACCATCATCATACTCATCATCAGCATCATCACCATCAGCAGCATCAGCATCATCACCATCACCAGCAGCATCAATCATGAGAAGCAGCATCATGAGCATCATCATTACCACCATCACCAACCTCAACGGCAAGAGGAACCACAAGAACAAGCTTAAGAGCAAATAACCGAATATAGCCAGAATAATCATATGCTAAAAGGCGGCAATAGTAACAACAACAACAACAACAACAACAACAACAACAACAACAACAACAACAACAACAACAACAACAACAACAACAACAACAATTACTAGCACGTGGGGACACTCCGTTCTCACCAGTGCCAGGGTTTTCATAGGAGGCGGGCAATACCCCCACTTTGTGGGGGGGCCGGTTCAAGCTCTACCAAATTTCCAAACGACTCTTCGCCACCACCCACACCCAGCTTCCCGCCCTATGACGTTCGGACACTTCACTTCGTGGCCTGCGGACGACCGTGGCTACTACACTGGCGCATGGGTACAGTGACTTGTTGTGGTAACATTTTCTGGACGCTAACTTAGTATACGACTTTTCCCCCTGTTCCAATGGTTTTTGAAGATTTCGGTGTGCGCGCGCGAAGAAAAAACGAATGTGTCCCGCATGGTATTATTTGACAGGGATGATGGCCCTGGCAGGTGCGCAACCGTTGTTGGAGAAGTTCGAAGCACGTGAAAAAGTTGCTCGCAAAAGCCCGTTTGACAGAAATGTTTAAAAAGTGTTGGGTTTCCTACAAATCCGCAAGAGCGCGCGGGATGAAATTTTGACATTTTTTTTTGAAAAACCATTGTTTTTTTGATGTTTGTTATGTTAAAATCGCTACGAACACTAAGGTTTTGGAAGGATTTCGTTTTGCGCGCGCGAATGTCCACTTTACCTTATTTTTTGCAATGGATTCTTGAAATGTGGTTATGTTAGAACAAGAAATGTCATTTTCTATTGCTTTTTGCAAGGGAAAACGGGGGGGAACAAAACAACCGGATCCGGACCAACCCGTTTTGCCGGAGACTTCCTCACGAAAATGATGAAAACATGGCTGCGGCCTAGGCGCGGCGAGGGGGCCGTGCACCAGGGGTCCCAACAATAATTATTCTTTAGAAGTAATAATGTTCAACAGCAACAACAACAACAACAACAACAACAACAATGACACAACAACAGCAACAACAACAACAACCACAACAACCATTTGAAGACTGCTCGCTCTTACTGGCACGCGCGTCTTGCATTCTGTATACCCCAACCCTCGATACCCATCGATTGCACCCCCTTTCGGGGGGGAATCTCTTCCTAGTCGGCCACTGCGAAGAAGTCTCCAACGAGAGCGCCGTTCATGAGTTCGGGGGCCTCGCTGGCCAGGGGCTCTCGGAATACCTACGGAGAAATATCGAACGGGAGCCCTTGTAGCCGTGTCCGGGCCTCCACCAACTTACCTGAATTACGGGAAATTCTCGGGTGAGGGCGCCGTTCCTGAGTCCGGGGGCCTTGGCCAGGGGCTCTCGGAGTAAATCGTGAGGAAGTGTCGAGGAGGAGCCCTTGTCGTCGTGGCTGGGCCTCCGCCAACTTAGTTGAACTGCGAGGAAGTCTCGAGCGAGCGCGCCGTTCCTGAGTTCGGGAGCCTCTGTGGCCATGGTGTCTCGGGGTAAAAGCGGGAGCCGTTGTTGTCGCAGCTGGGCCTCCAAAGGCCCACATTTAGGCTCAAACCAACGCTCGAGCGGCAGCCTCGCTTTCAGAGAAGATGCAGCCGGCGTCGAGGCGAGCGCGCGCGGAACCGTTTCCAAAAATCCGTAATAATTGTTAATTATAAATGCATTTTCAACAACAACAGCAACAACAACAACAATAACAATCACTTTACCCGAACGCTCAGTGTTCTCACCAGTGCCAGGGTTTTCATGCGACGCCAGCCAATACCCCCACTTTGTGGGGGGGCAATGCAAGCTCTACCAAATATCCACACGACTCTTCGCCACCACCCACACCCAGCTTCCCGCCCTATGACGTTCGGACACTTCACTTCGTGGCCTGCGGACGACCGTGGCTACTACACTGGCGTGGAGTACACACCCACAGAAGTTGTTAAGCCTACGTTCGTACACCCACAGAAGTTGTTAACCAGAAGTTGTTAACCCACGGTGCGATTCGTGTGATTTTATGATGCGCGGTGCTAAAATTCTTAAGAAGCCCAATGGTTTTTGGAGATTTCGGCGTGCGCGCGCGAAGAAAAAACGAATGTGTCCCGCATGGTATTATTTGACAGGGATGATGGCCCTGGCAGGTGCGCAACCGTTGTCGCAGAAGTTCGAAAAAGTTGCTCGCAAAAGCCCGTTTGACAGAAATGTTTAAAAAGTGTTGGGTTTCCTACGAATCCGCAAGAGCGCGCGGGATGAGATTTTGACATTTTTTTGTTGAAAAACCATTGGTTTTTTGATGTTTTTATGTTAAAATCGCTCCGAACACTAAGCTTTTGGAAGGATTTCGTCTTGCGCGCGCGAATGTCCACTTTACCTTATTTTTTGCAAGGGATTCTTGAAATTTGATTATATTAGAACAAGAAATGTCATTTTATAGTGTTTTTTGCAAGGGAAAACGGATTACAACAAAACAACCGGATCTTGATGACATCGTATTACCTGAGGCTTCCTCACGAAAATGATGAAAATGTAGCTGCGGCCTAGGCGGCGCAGGGGGGGCGCGCACCAGGGGCCCAACAATAATTATTCTTTAGAATTAATAATGTTCAACAACAAAACAACAACAACAACAACAACAACAACAACAACAACAACAACAACAACAACAACAACAAACAATCATTTTACCCGAACGCTCAGTGTTCTCACCAGTGCCAGGGTTTTCATGCGACGCGAGACAATACCCCCACTTCGTGGGGGGGCAGTTCAAGCTCTACCAAATATCCAAACGACTCTTCGCGACCACCCAAACCCAGCTTCCCGCCCTATGACGTTGGGACACTTCACTTCGTGGCGTGCGGACGACCGTGGCTACTACACTGGCGTGGGGTACACACCCACAGAACTTGGTCACTTATTCGGGGCGCGCGTGTGCCCAGCATCCTGCAATTGTGACATACAATACATGACACAGACAGACAGAGAGAGAGACAGAGAGCAGACAGAGAGAGAGACAGAGAGAGCGGAGTTGGTCACATTTTTGGGGCAAGTTCCTGAGATCGTCGTGTTTTTTGTTGGTCTTGCGCGCGCGAATGTCCACTTTATTTTTTTTTGCAAGGGAGTATTGAAATTTGATTATGTTAGAACAAGAAAAAGTAGCTCGCGCGAGCTCATGTAACATAAATGTTGAAAAACCATTGGTTTTGTGGGAGTCGGACAGCGCGCGCGGGATGAAATTTGGACATTTTTTTTTGAAAAACCATTGGGTTTTTGATGTTTTTATGTTGAAATCGTTACGAAACCTAAGGTTCTGGAAGGATTTCGTCTTGCGCGCGCGAATGTCCACTTTACCTTATTTTTTGCAAGGGATTATTGAAATTTGATTATGTTAGAACAAGAAAAAGTAGCTCGCGCGAGCTCATGTAACATAAATGTTGAAAAACCATTGGTTTTGTGGGATTCGGACAGCGCGCGCGGAAGGACATTTTGACAATTTTTTCTTAAAAAACCATTGGGTTTTTGATGTTTTTATGTTAAAATCGTTACGAAACCTAAGGTTTTGGAAGGATTTCGTCTTGCGCGCACGAATGTCCACTTTACCTTATTTTTTGCAAGGGATTCTTGCAATTTGATCAAGTAAGAACAAGAATTTTCATTTTATAGTGTTTTTTGCAAGGGAAAACGAGCGTCAACAAAAAACCGGATCCGGTACCAATCGTTTTGCCTGAGACTTCCTCACGAAAATGATGAAAATGTGGCTGCGGCCTAGGCGCGGCGGGGGGGTCGCGCACCAGGGGTCCCAACAATAATTATTCTTAAGAAGAAATAATGTTCAACAACAACAACAACAACAACAACAACAATTACTAGCACGTGGGGACACTCCGTTCTCACCAGTGCCAGGGTTTTCATAGACGCCGCCAATACCCCCACTTTGTGGGGGGGCCGGTTCAAGCTCTACCAAATTTCCAAACGACTCTTCGCCACCACCCACACCCAGCTTCCCGCCCTATGACGTTCGGACACTTCACTTCGTGGCCTGCGGACGACCGTGGCTACTACACTGGCGCATGGGTACAGTGACTTGTTGTGGTAACATTTTCTGGACGCTAGCTTAGTATACGACTTTTCCCCCTGTTCCAGCGACCTACGGTGCGATTCGTATGATTTTATGTTGCGCGGTGCTAAAATTCCTAAGAAACCCAATGGTTTTTGAAGATTTCGGCGTGCGCGCGCGAAGAAAAAACGAATGTGTCCCGCATGGTATTATTTGACAGGGATGATGGCCCTGGCAGGTGCGCAACCGTTGTTGGAGAAGTTCGAAGCACGTGAAAAAGTTGCTCGCAAAAGCCCGTTTGACAGAAATGTTTAAAAAGTGTTGGGTTTCCTACAAATCCGCAAGAGCGCGCGGGATGAAATTTTGACATTTTTTTTGAAAAACCATTGGTGTTTTGATGTTTTTATGTTAAAATCGCTACGAACACTAAGGTTTTGGAAGGATTTCGTCTTGCGCGCGCGAATGTCCACTTTACCTTATTTTTTGCAAGGGATTCTTGAAGTTTGGTTATGTTAGAACAAGAAATGTCCACTTTGCCTTATTTTTTGCAAGGGAAAACCGCCCGTAACAAAACAACCGGATCCGGACCAACCCGTTTTGCCAGAGACTTCCTCACGAAAATGATGAAAACATGGCTGCGGCCTAGGCGCGGCGAGGGGGCCATGCACCAGGGGCCCCAACAATAATTATTCTTTAGAAGTAATAATGTTCAACAACAACAACAACAACAAAAACAACAATACCAACAACAACAACAACAACAATCACTTTAAGACTGTTCGCCTTTATATGCTCGAGTGTCCAATAACGCGTATTTCCCAAACCCTCGATAACCCGCCCTCTTCGTCTTCGATCGAAGCCCTCTTGGGGGGTATACTTTTCTTCCCTGCAGGCCGGGCCCCGGCAAGCGGCGGGGCGGCCGCGGAGCGTCGGCCTGACCAGCGGCAGCGCTGATCGGCGGGGCAACCGCGGACCGTCGACCCGGCCCGAAAAGGGACGGACAAGGGACCGACCACGACGACGACGACGACGACAACGACGACGACGACGACGTCGACAACGGCGACGACGGCGACGACGAGCGAAAGCGAGAGCGAGAGAGAACGACAGCAGGGCAACGAAGGGCACGAAGTAGGCCACGAAGAGCGACAGCGAGGACACGAAGGGAATGCGTGTGGGGCCACGAAGAGTGCGAACGAGCGGGGGCCACGAAGTGCAGATAATGCGGAGCCACAGAAGGCAACTATGGGGCCACTGAAGGTAGCAACTGGGCCACGTAGGACAATGAGGGGGACACAACTGGCGACAGCGGGGCCATGAAGGGCATGCACATGGGGCCACAACTGGCGCGACTCCTGGGTGCCTGGGTGTCGGGAGCGCGGCGCTTGGGCAAATTGCAAGAAATTCCAACGCAAGGCAATTCTTCAGTAAGTTGCAAGCAAGTCTCCAGCGAGGGCGCGACTCCAGAGCCCCGGGAAAGCGATTCCTGAATAAATTGTAAGGAAATCCGAAACGAGAGCGCGATTCCTGAATAAAATGCGAGGAAATCTCGGGCGGGAGCGGGGGTCCTGCCTAAATTGCAAGGAAGTCTCAGGCGGGAGCCATTGTTGTTGTAACCCGGGGGCCAG